TGATAAATGATTGGTTTACTGCTTTACTCGACCGAAATTAGACCAAATATTATCGTCGCAATAGGTTTGTGTGTCACGGACCATGCATATCACAAGGTACCTCATTTGACCACAAGTAGGCATATTTTTAGATATCTCAAAGGGAGCAAAGCCTTAGGATTTTGTTACCCATCAGGAAACGACTTCAATTTGTAGGCGTTCATAGATACATATCGCGTCAGATGCAAATTGGATAGAAAAACTAATTTCGGGCGATGTCAATTCCTCGGCGGAGGATTAGTAAGTTGATTATCCAAAAAACATAATTGCATTTAATTGTCCACTATAGAAGCTGAATACGTCTCAACGACCAGTTGATTTTCTCAAGTCATATCGGTGAAAACTCAACTCATGGATTACGGCTACAATGTGCTTCAGATACTTATTTATTATTGTTCAGAAAGTGCAATTGCAATCTAGCACAATCCGGTACAACACTCCAAGACGAAGCACATTGAGCTAAGATATCACTTCATCAAGGACCACATCATCAAATGTAATGCTAAATTAAGTTTTTTTACCTTCATACGAAGAAATAGTCGATGTATGTACTAAAACATTTTACTCTACAAGACTCAATGGACGTATAGAAATGTTAGGAATGATGAATCCTGGCATGCATGTTTTTCTTAAATATATAACTTTGGTGACAAATTTTAAAAGTCATCGCAACTAACAAATATATGCATTTCAATCGTCTTGATAAATTGTTGAAACACTTTTGTTTATCATAAATTAGTTAAATTCTTAATTCACCGTAGGAGATTATCAAAACTTTTAAAGTACATAAATTTGTCTAAGTTTTAAGTTTATCTTTTTGAATTCTAACCATTGAGCACATATTTCATATATTATACCTTAGTCAAATTGTTTCACCGGAGTTTATTTATGATTTTCGTACTCTCGGTGTCACTTTATTGTTTTTATATCTAATCTTTCAACTTAAGTGCTCGCCGTAGTTCGAAACCAATCACCACATTTACAATCTCATACCGCAGTTCATCCTTCTGAACACTGAGTTAATTTCTTATTTTGCAATAAATAAAGTTTGCAAAAGATGTGCTATTTAATGGATCGTGATCAAATCACTAGGATTTCAGAAGGAATATTTTTATTATGATTCATTAAATATTTTTTCATTCTGTTCTTTTCATAAAGTTATATTATCACGTTTCAAATCCGACACTATAAATGGTAATTATTTGAGTCTCCAACGAATTTCATCTTCTTCCTCTATTCATCTTCAAAAACACTTTTAAGTAGATCTTCAAACTTTTTAACTTTAAAAATGGAAAAATCTGGTGCTTCAAAGAAAAATTCAAGGCTGTAAGAGCTTCTACCTGTATAGGTAAACTCAAGGTCCTTGAATAGCCTCAAGCAACTACCATTTTCTGTTTGTTTCAAATCACAAATATGATGATTCGATCAAACTAACGATCCACTACTTGAAGAAACATCCTATATATGGTCGTTTTGATGCAACCACGTAAGTCATCCCTCTCAAGCTTGTATGAAAATGTGTGTTTTCTTCTTATCGTCCTAAAGAAGATTTAAATCAAGTTAGGTTTTGTCACACACAGAACCCGACCTATTGGCGGAAACACCGAGCAGTGTGACGGTATAAAGAGCGCCAATCTTACTGACCTGAGAATACATGCATTTTAAAAGTCAACATAATGTCGGTGAGTGCATGAGTTTTTATATTTAAATGTTTTTAAGAATCCTTTTCATTGAGAAAAAATTTCTTAATTATTGACCTAGCTTTCTATCGTTTTAGGATATCTAACGATTCTAGTGTCTTATAATTATGATATCTTTTATTAATCTTAATTTACTATCTTTTTAGAATATCTGACGATCATAACGTAATTTAATTAGGATATCTTTTATTAATCCTACTTTATTGTTTTTTTAGGATATCTTGCAATCCTAATGTACTTTGATTAATCCAAATTTACCTTTTTTTATGATATCTAACGGTCATAATGTATGTTAATTTGGATATCTTTTATTAATCCAAGTTTACTATATCTTTTAGGTTATCTAACGATGTATTTTAATTAGGATATTTTTTATAAATCCAAATTCATTATCTTTTTAGGATATCCAACGATTCTAACGTATTTTAATTACCATTCCAGACATCCATAATGGTAATCTAAACTCTATGGCAATTTTTAATGTATTATCGTGAGCCCCTATAATAAACGCTATGACCGTACTTGTACCCCGAATCACGACGCTTCATCGGACGTCGAATAGTAACTTATACGGAAGGTATCATGCCAAGATTGTAGCTAGTAATCATAGGTGCGGTTGTCATTGCCCTGTATAGATTTATACATAACTTCCAAGCGCTCGCAAGACTAACGCTTATAGGTATTGGGGATTTGCCGAAATTATCAAGGCTTTTGGATGCATAATTTCCTAGGATTTTATGTTTTATCTTTTAATCTTTTATCTTACCATATTAGTCGTGTGTGTGTGTGTGTATATATATATATACACTAGCCGTAGACCCGCGCAAAGCGGCGGCGAAAAATAGTTTCTCATTCGGCAATAAGTTCTATACGGAAACATGTTAGATTTCAAGTAACACAAAACATATGCATATTGTTATCGATCGGTTTTACGACAACAAATAAATGAAACCCTCGCAATACAAAAGAAACTAAATATTTTAGTGTGTAGTGTACGTTTATAGTTTTAGTGTGTAGTGTACGTTTATAGTCCTTCATTTTAGAAATCAGGACACATCCATACGAAGTGACTTGCTTATACCTTTATTAGTATTGATAAAGTTAATAAAAGGGAGAATCAAAGTTAATCTTAACAACCCGGTTTGCTTGATATAGATAAGTCTAAACAGATATATCCTATTATCCACTTTAATATCTAAAGTTTTAAATCGAAAAATAATAAAATTAATACAACCATATTTCATGGAACATGAATAACAAATGGAATACTAATTTTCTATTAGTCATAAATCATACATAGATATTTTTTCTTAATATTAAACAAAGTATTTGATTTTACAACTGATTGGTCAATTTCGATTAGAGGGCATAAACAATAAATAAAACTTAAAAAAATTACAAATAAAATGGCCTATATAATGGATTATTTGTTTTATTTTAATTGGATAAGAGACCAGGTCAAATTTTTGGAAGAGATAAGATTTCAAAGGTAATCAGATTAAAATTTAATATTGTTTTATTCATGATTAGTTGTATTTTATGTTTAGAGAGTTGAACGTCTTAAAAAAATAATATTATTTTATTGGATCTATTTATAGAAATAGTAGAATTTCTTTTATAAGTTAGTAAAGATATATATATATATATATATATATATATATATATATATATATATATAAATCGTTAAATATACATTAATTATGGTTATTTTAACAGGATATTTGGGCAGAGTAATAACTAAGTACTATGTATATCCTAAATCTTGTCTAACATAACTCATTGGTACTAAAGTTTCCTAGGGATTTGTCCATTGTAACATCTAGGTGACACCTACTCCTAGATTATTGGGTATTATAACCATTAGAAATAAGAGCATACCTTAAAACTTGGCATAGTATCTATATTTATACTATCATAAGGCATCTAACTTATTATAAAATAATTTGACATTTATAAAATAAATATATTTTATAAAACTATCTGATAAGCATGTATTCCCTCTGAAAGTAATTAAAATAGTAAATAGGGGTCGTGAACTCACTCTAGTAGCGTATCGAGATGCACCCGAACAACTGCAACCATAATCTCTTGCTATCGAGAGGGTATCGAAGTATCGAGAGATAGTGTTTGGAGATTGGTTTGAGATGAAAAAAACAAAGAAGCAAACATGTATATTTATAGTGGTGGTGCGTGTCGGTCACTCTCTTGCTCTACGTGCACTTGCTTCATGGCCCATCCAAATATTATCATGTGTCACCCTTCTGGTGGTCCATGTTTCCAAATCTCCGAATAATTTGGGGTCAAACATGCGCGACGGTATGGCGAGCACATTGACTTCCTTTTTAAAAATTCATATTTTCTTCATATGAACTTTGTTTCTTACCCTCTTTATATATTTATCTAGCTCTTTCTTAGAACTAAAACTTTCCTTTAGGTTGTGTCATCAAATTTTAACTTTCATTTTTAACCCATATTTTTATTTTTTATAAAAATTGTAGCTTATTCATACGACTTTAGTTTTTAATTTGGTTGGTTTCTGTTGATCATAAAATCATAACTCTTCTAATCAAAGTTAGATTTTCTCGACGTTTATATTTTTGGGATAATTACGTCATGTATTTTCCAAATATAGTAACCATTTTAACTTTTTGATTACTTTATTTTAGACTCAACTTTCCATATTATCCTTCAATATGGGTAATTTTTATAATTATGAGTCGATCCTAACTCCTATTAATAATTAACAATGGAAAACTCACAATTCTTACTTTCTCCAACTATATTAGGAATTTCGTCCTCGAAATTAGAGTCTTATCTAATCTTTAAACGTGGAGACCATTTTCTTATAAAGGAAGGCGATTAACTAATTTTTCTTTTTAGTTTTCTACTTTCATTTCTTTAACTTCTTCCTTAGCATCTAACATTTACCATTTTTGAAATCCTATCTTTTCCTAGTTTAGACCTATAGGAAACCTAGAATGTCTATTAAATTTTGGTTAAGGATTTCTGGAGGGATTTCTTTGTTTTAATTTATCATTTTAAATCTATTGTTAAAATGAACTCTTTGAAACATTAAACCTCAAGGATTCCTATCATCCTCGGAAAAATCTTACAATTATTTTTGTGGGGTTTCCTTTCCCTCATATTCCTATTTCTATTATTTCCAATATTCCTTCATTGGATTTGCTAAATCTTGTAGGCATCTACAATAAGTCTTGTCTTTCCGCACTCCTTTCATTTGAAATCTTCACAGCTACCGAAATGGAGCAGTCTGCACTTACTGCACAAGGGAAATCTTCGCAAGTATCCTTTTTGGGGAACAACCCATTAGAAGCTTCCTTTCCTCCTTTCTCCTGTACAAGGGTCGACTTGGTCCTTCCTTTTTGATTTCCCCATTTTCTTCCAAGTTCCTCAAGGGCTTTGGTTTCCTTAAAGTGGAACGCTAGCTGCTTAGTTTCCTCGAAGGTGTGGGGCTTGTATGCTTGTATCTGCTTCTTGACATGAGGTGCTAGTCCTCAGAAATATGCATTGATTTTCCTGCTCTCCGAGAAAACCAGTTCTAAGAATACTATGGCTAGGTCCTGAAAAAGTATGTTGTAGAAGGCTAGATTTGACTTCCTAGTGCTTAACTGACTGAATTCATGTTCTACTCAAGCCATATCTTCCGCAGAACACAATTCTATTGTTATTTTCCCTTTTCAACTCTTATAATGAGAGTAGATAGGCTACATCTAGCCCTAAGGCTTTTTCCTAGATACTCCACCTGATGAGGGCCTTCCCCATAAGTGTGCAAGTTGCAAACTTTACCCTAACCTCCTTATTACACCTAACCTCTCACCATTTTCTACTTCATCTCCATAGGAGGATCCTAGCTGACTACGAAGAAATTATTTGTAGGTTTGGCTACCTTCCTTGCTGCTTCCTTCTCCATGGTTAACTTTTAGGTTCTCCAATGCATCAGAGACTTGATGCTGAATTATGGTTTGGATGGCGGTTGGACTTAACAATGTTAACATATCATGGTTTTTTTTCCTGAAACAACGGACGAGAGGATTATTAGGTTTTGCCTATGGGGTCAGTTATATTCCTTAGTTTTAGGGTACTTATAGTTGCTCTCTTAGCAACTTGTCTACTTATTTCCTCTATTATTATTTTTCTATTTGGGATTTTTAGATTTACTATTTCTAACATACTTTTTATTGCTTTCCTTGCAACTTACTGATTATAGCATGTTGTCATTGTTTCCCTAGCAAGTTACTGTAGCTTTCCTAGCAACTTACTAATCATAGCATGATGTCATTGCTTTCCTTGCAACTTACTTACCAACTTACTGATCATAGCATGTTGTCGTTGCTTTCCTAGCAACTTAGTGTTGCTTTGTTAGTAACTTACTAATCATAGCATGCAGTTGTTACTTACCTAGCAACTTATTATTTCTTTCCTAGAAACTTACTAATTATAACATGTTGTTGTTGTTTACCTAGCAATTTATTGTTGCTTTCCTAGCAATTTACTAATCATCCCAAGGAAGTTCCTTCTTCCTTGTCATAAATTTTGACTCGTAAAGGCTTTTATTATTTTAGGGAATCCAGAGGGTCAAAATTGTCAAAAAGGAAAAATCTTCCTTTTGATCGTTGGGCACGTTATCCGCGCGTCGCACATAGGCCCTGATTGTCCAGAACCTACTCTTGATGATGTGATGTGGGATCTTGCTGCTTCACAGGAGGAGCGCCATTGGATGATGGCTTCGCTTGTCACGGTGAGGCGATATTTGGGGATGGACCATCTGCAATTCCCTAGTGCAGATCCTATTATACCACCTCCTTATCAGCAACACAAAACTGATCACGATGGTGTCGATACTTCTGGCACATGTCTCGGAGATACTAATGATGATGATGACAATAATGATGATGAGGAGACCGAGACGGAGTCGGAGAGTAGTGAGGAGTATATTTGTGGGTTTATTTTGTATATTGATGATGTATTCTGACATACTTAACTTGGTTTGGGATTGTCTTTATATATTTATGGTTTTTATGTTTTATTTGTCTACACATCGAGTTTTTCCTCAATATTTATCTTTATGTGTTATGTTTCTTTATATTTGGGAATGGCAGTTTATTATTGTATTGTACTTCTAGACTATGTATGTTTTGGCCAGGTAGGAAATGTCGGTGGGTAGGACCATTTTTGCATGCAACTATTCTGAAATCCAACAACCCAATGCAACTGTTCCAGTCTAGTCACCTTTACAAAACATAATCTACCAGTAGAAAATTTTATAGTATAATTTTTTTATAGGTTTGAGGACAAATACAATAGGAGTATATGACCTAAGCTGTAGTTGTAATTCCTAAAGAAATACTAAGCCTATACTCCTAAGGAAATTCTAATTCACTATAGCAAAAACATATGCTCTGATACCATCTATGTCACACCCCTACCCGACCTTTGATAGAAACACTAAGCAGTGTGACAATATAAAGAGTGTCAATCTTACTAACCTGAGAATTAATACACACATTTTTAAAGTCAGCATAATGTTGGTGAGGGAACAAGTTTTTATTTTTGAATCTTTTTAAGAATCATTTTTCTTTGAGAAAACCTTTCTTAAATATTACCCAGAGTTCTATCTTTTTATGATATCTAATGATCCTAGAGTCTTTTAATTAGGATATCTTTTATTAATCATAATTTACTATCTTTTTAGGATATCTAATGATCATAACATATTTTAATTAGGATATATTTTATTAATCCTAATTTACTATATCTTTTAGGATATCTAATGATCCTAACATATTTTAATTAGGATATCTTTAACTAATCCTAATTTACTATCATTTTAGGATATCTAACGATCCTCATGTATTTTAATTAGGATATATTTTATTAATCCTAATTTAGTATCCTTTTAGGATATGTAACGATCCTAACGTATTTTAATTAGGAAATCTATTATTAATCTTAATCTACTATCTTTTTAGGATATCTAACGATGCTAATGTATTTTAATTACCATTCCATGCATCCCTAATGGTAATACAAACTCTAAGGCAATTTTTAATGTATTATCATGAGCCCCTATAATCGAGGCTTTGACCGTAAATATACCCTAAATCGCGATGCTTCATCGAACGTCAAATAGTAACTTATATGGAAGGTATCTTGTCGAGATTGTAGATAAGAATTGCAGCTGGGGTTGTCATGGCCCCGTATAGATATATACATAACTTCATAGCTCTCGCAAGACTAACAATTATTAGTATTGGGGATATGCCGAATTTAATCAAGGCTTTTGGATGAATAACCAACTCACTAACACATTCACCCTAGGCTTTTATCTTTTATCTTTCCATAATTACCCTACGCATATATATATATATGTATGTATGTATGTATGTATGTATGTATGTATGTATGTATGTATGTATGTATGTATATAGTTTTTATATATATCATATATGTATTTGATAGTTATATTTATGATCTCATAATTATCCTATATATATAAATCGTCATATATATACCCTCACTACAATTATTTTAACATAATATTTGGGCAGAGTAACAGCTAAATATCGTGCATATCGTAAATCTTGTCTAGCATAACTCCTAGGTACTAAGGTTTTCTAGGGATTTTGCTATTATAACATATAAGTAACACCTATTCCTAGATTATTGGGCATTATAACCTATAGACATAAGATCATAGCATAAAACTAGGTATAGTATCCACAATTATGCTACCCTAAGGCATCTAGCTTAGTATAAAATGATTTGACATTTATAAAATAAATATTTTTTTAAAACCATTTGATAAGCATGTGTCCCCCATGAAAACATTCAAAATACTAAAATAGGGGCCGTGAACTCATTTTAATAGCATATCGAGAAGCATCCGAACTGCTACAACCGGAGTCTCTTGCCATCGGGATGGTATCGAAGTATGGAGAGAGAGTGTTTGGAGATTGGTTTGAGATGAAAAGAACTAGGAAACAAGCACCTCTATTTATAGTGGTGGTGTGCGCCCGTCACTCTCCTTGCGGCGTGCACTCGCTTCGTGACCCATGCAAATATTGCCACCAGTCACCCATCGGGTGGTCCATGTTTCAAATCTCCGACGAATTCGGGGCTCAGATGCGTGTGACGAGGATGGCATGCACATTGACATGCACCCTTAATTCCGTTTTAAATATTCATATTTTCTTCTTATGAACTTTGTTTCTTCCCTTCTTTATATATTTGTGTAGCTCTTTCCTAGAACTACAACTTTTACTTTCGGTTGCGTCGTAAAAGTCAAACTTTAATTTTTAACCCACATTTTAATATTTTATAAAAATCGTATCTCTTTCATACGACTTCCATTTTTTCCCTTCTTCCTTTCAAAGTTCTTAGCTCATGCTATACTACAAATTTCCTTTTTGTAGTGTTAGCCGAAACTCAACCAACCTCTTTTTGGCATGTTGACGTTAATAACGTTATTAGCGTTGTTGGTTTCTGTTCATCATAAAATCATAACTCTTCCGATTAGAGTTCGATTTTCTCGAGCTTTATATTTTTGGGATCACTAAGTCGTGTATTTTCCAAATGCACTAACCATTTTAACTTTTTGATTACTTTATTTTCGACTCAACTTTCCATATTATCATTCAATATGGTAGGGTTTTATCATTATGAGTCGATCCTAACTCCTAGTAACAATTAATGATCAAAAGCAATCAATTGTTACAAGTTTTTGTCGGAAAATGATTCCACTGTTGTCTTCACCAAATAATTTTTCTTTAATGTTATTCAGATTCGACACTTGAAGTTTTAGAATTCAAAAACCCCTCCAATGATGAAGTGTGTAGGGTTATCTACAAAATGGGGGTATAAAACTAAGCTTCAAGGAGCTTTTGATTTTCGGAAGAGCAAATTGCATGTAGTTTGAGAATGTGTATATTATCATATCATTCGATGTCTGTTTGGAAGAACTGGAGGAACTAATCAAATCAACAAGTTGTTATTAGATATCTTTTAGAGTATGTTTACTAGAGAAGAAGTAGGTTCGGGGGTGATTCTATGGGATTGTTTCTTGTGGTACATTGTCAAATATACTCCTTACGACGATCTCACAGAAGTAACTTCTGTGAGGTTCTGGTCGCTTCGCATTAGGGAACTTCATAACGAAGCTAGAATCTTCGTTAGTAATGATATCGGTCTCTTGTTTCTTCACGAAATCAAAATGCACACTCATCCTGAAGATCATCCATCTTTTGGACCTATTTGACAACTCCTTGAAGCCATGAAGCAATCGTATTAGAATTACTCGTGATGAATCCATGAAGTAATCCATATGCAATGTCTAATCCCTATGGACAATCTACAAATAATTGATGATAGTATTAAATCAATACCAACTCCCTAGAAGTATAATCAAATGTGGCTATTCGAATAAATTAATATCCAATAAGTAAAACATGAAAAGTAAAACACAAAAATAAATTAATTGAAAAATGTTTTCACACACTTTGAACATAAATAAATCCGTATTACTTAATGACCATTTAATTGCAATTTCTTGTTGTTACTTTGTTTCAAAACTATAAAATAACAACTAAAATATAGAATCTAATATCGTCTCTTCGCCTAATGCTCCTAGCATGATAAAAGTGCTTGATCTTACTTAAAGCGTTTGTGAGAGGATCAAAAGGATTCTCCACAGATAATACACGATTCACCATGATTTTGTCTCCTTCAATTTGCTGTTGGATGTAATCGTATTTTCTTTCGATATGTTGTGATCTACCATGATCCTTTGGTTCTTAGGTTAAAGCAACCACACATTCATTGTTGTAGAAAATCTCCATGGGATCTTTGATTTATGGAACAACTACAAGATCCCCAGTGAAATTCTCTAACCATGTTGTTTCCTATGCTGCCTCACTTGATGCGATGTAATCTGATTCACAAGTAGAATTAGCCACCGTCTGATGGTTGCAACACTTCCAAGTTACCACCCCACCAGTTAATAGAAACACCCAACCAAATTATTAATAACTATTATCTCGATCTATTTGAAAACTGGGGTCACTATAACCACTCACATTAAGTTTTTGTTTGCCACCAAAAACTAAGATCATAACTTTTGTTTTTTTGGAAATGCTTAAGTATTTTTTACTGTTGTCTAATGCTAGGATTTACCTGATATCTGCTAACCATGCTTAAAGGACATGCAACATCACGTTGAGTACATGTCATAGCATACATGATCGATCCTATAGCCGAAGCATATGGTACTTGACTCATAATATCCATTTTCCATAATTCATAGTCATGATAAGCAGCTATGGCAAGCATTAATCTTGGCAACTGTTGAAAATGTCTCATCATAGTCAAGCCTTGACTCTGAGTAAAGCCTTTAGTAACCAACCTTGCATTGAAGGTTTGTACATTACCATCCATGTCGACCTTCTTCATGAAGATCCATTTACAACCTACTATATTTCGGCCAGGTGACTGATCAACCAAAGTCAATACTTGGTTATCATACATGGATTGGATCTCACATTCCATTAGCTCTTCTTATTTTGTTGCTTTAGGGACTGCCATCAATTCCTTGTTGTTAGTTGGCTTATCCAAATTTACCAGTGAACTATCATTAATTAACATGTCCCCATCTATTATTAAATGGAAACCATATAACTTAGGTGGCATACTAACTCTATTGGATCGACAAAGTGGTAATGAATTGTCAATGGAATCAACAGGTTCAGCCTCAGGTTTAGAGCTAGTGTCTTCAGAGGTCCTATCATCTGATGAATCTTGAAGATCTTAAAGACCAATCACACTCCTACATTCATCTTTGGATATGAGCTCTCTCTCTCTCTCTCTCTATTTCTTTCTCTATCTTTATCTCTCTCTCTCTCTCTCTCTCGCTCTCTCTCTCACTCTCTCACTCTCATGCAATACTCCTCTTCGAGCTATAAAGGCCACGTTCTCATTAGG